ATTTCATCAGTCCCTTGGATCATGGTCAATGATGATGCAAAAACTTCTAATGTTAAGGCACGGGTGAAGCCTACAATGTAAAGTTTCTGCTGATTGAGCTCTTGCAAATACAAAAAAAACACTGCAAGTAATTTAGTTATATGTAATGTGATTTGAAACTATATAAAGGATGAAATTGTGAAAAGTTTACGATGACAACGATTGCGAAAGACAAGGGACAGACTTCAATCCTGAAAGCTCATTCTAGTCTTAGGCTCAGGTGAGCTTTTACGCAATAGCAATAAGTTTTTCAAAATTTTGACAATTGAATTTGGGATGTTTAAATAGTAAATACAGACTGCAAAAATGCTATAGGCATGATTCAGAATGATCGAGATACAAATGTATAACCCTTGACTACAAACAAACAGACAAGCAAAAAAATCCAAACATTTTAACTACAGTGTATCCTACCACTTTCATGGAAAGAATATATAAGAGTTTTAAGTTTATTAAGGAATATTTACCTACCTATTTTGAAGCAAGCTTGAGGTCATGGTGTCTGTTCCTCGATGTGTTCATTATTAACAAGAGGCCCAAGGGCCACATCGCTCACCTGAGCACATCTACTAGGAAAAAGCACATATCAGATCAAAACTGAAAGTTTACTGGGGGAGGGGGGGGCTTGAATTTTAACCCTCCTGGGTGTCATGATTTGAACAATGTAGAATCTACACTACCTGAGGATGATTCCATATAAATAGAAAAATATCACTAATCATGGCTTTGAAGTACTTGAAAAGAAGATTTTAAAAAGTTTCCCTATGTATCCTTATGTACAACTTTGGTCAGCCATTTTGGGCCAAAACTAGCCCCAGAGGTCATGACTTGAACAAGCTTGAATCTTCGCTAACTGAGGATGATTCCACATAAGTTTCGTCTTTCCTGGTCCAAAGGTTCTTGAGAAGAAGATTTTTAAAGTTTTTTTCCTATATATTCCTATGTAAAACTTTGGTCAGCCATTTTGGCCCCATCCTAGCCCAAGGGGTCATGATTTGAACAAACTTGAATCTACACTACTTGAGGATAATTTCATTTGATAAGTTTCATATTTCCTTTCTCAATGATTCTTAAGAAGATTTTAAAAAGATTTTTCCTATATATTCCTATGCAAAACTTTGGTCGGCCATTTTGGCCCCACCCTAGCCCCAGGGGTCATGATTTGAACAACGTAGAATCCACACTACCTGAGGATGATTCCACATGAGTTTCATCTTTCCTGGCCCAGTGGTTCTTAAGAAGAAGATTTTAAAAGATTTGTTCTATGCATTTCCATGTAACTTTGGTCGGCCATTTTGGCCCCACCCTAGCCCCGGGGGTCATGATTTGAACAAAATTGAATCTACACTACCTGAGGATGATTCCACATGAGTTTCATCTTTCCAATTCCAGTGGTTCTTGAGAAGAAGATTTTTAAAAGATTTTTCTTATATATTCCTATGTAATACTTTTGTCGGCCATTGTGGCCCCACCCTAGCCCCGGGGGTCATGATTTGAACAAAATTGAATCTACACTACCTGAGGATGATTCCACATGAGTTTCATCTTTCCTGGCCCAGTAGTTCTTAAGAAGAAGATTTTTAAAGATTTTTCCTATATATTCCTATGTAAAACTTTGGTCTACCATTTTGGTCCCACCCTAGCCCTGGGGGTGATAATTTGAACAAATTTGAATCTACACTACCTGAGGATGATTCCACATGAGTTTCATCTTTCCTGGCCCAGTGGTTCTTGAGAAAAAGATTTTTTTAAAAATGCTATTAATTTTTCACTAATTCATAATTATCTCCCCTTGGAAGAGGGCGTGGCCCTTCATTTGAACAATCTTGAATCCCCTTCACCCAAGGATACTTTGTGCAAAGTCTGGTTGAAATTGGCCCAGTGGTTCTTGAGAAGAAGATGAAAATGTGAAAAGTTTACGACAACGACAACGACAACGCCAACAACAACGACAGACGACGGACAAATTTTGATCAGAAAAGCTCACTTGAGCCTTCGGCTCAGATGAGCTAAAAAGGCAGGATGTATATTGAACCTGTAAAAATATCAAAAAATTATTTACACAGTTTAATATAGGATTAAACGTTCCTTTTTCAGAATTTATCGATGTGTAAACTCTGCCTTTTTACTCACAAACTGAATAAAAGTGCGAAGCACTTTTATGTAAAGTTTGTGAGTAAAAAGGCAGAGTTTACACATCGATAAATTCTGAAAAAAGAAAGTTTAATTCTAATAATTCCAATTACCGGTACGAATTTTTTAAATGATAAGAATTATTTCCCTTTGAGGCCGCCATACAATCCGTTATTTTGTACGGCGTAGGAATACTTTATGCCGAAAAAGAAACGTATACAAGATGAATATCAATAAAATCCAACTTAGATTATTAAAACAATCAATAAACTCATTGAATGTTGTTTAAGTCAACAAATATCGTAAATACGCGTATTTTCCAGAATAATTCGTCCTTGACCATGGTCATGTTGACATTAACAACAACGTCATAACGAAAGTGCAGACCGTCCTCGATTTGCTCTGGTTCGTTCAAAGATTAAGGGAGAATATGAGATCTGTATGATGTAAGTTAACATATGAATTTGATGCTAAAAAGGCAAGAGTCTGAGGTACGTTTCTTTTCCCTTTCACAGCGATACCAACTGAGCTGATATGGAACGTCGAAGAAATGACAGCATGATCAGCGATTTTTAAAATTCACACTCGTGATCCGACCGTGACATAAACATAATATTCCCGTCTATCAGTCCTGTTTATCTCCTTTTCATTCATTCATTCGATCATTCATTCATTCATTCTTTTTTTATACTAGTTTCTTGTAGGCCTAATCATAATTTAGCAAAAACGGACTAGAAGTATCTGTTAATTCCTTGTTTTTTCAACAGTCAAGAAAGTAGTTCTGATTGAAGAATTCATCGATGTGTAAACTTTTTCTTGAATTTGTTTTCGTCCAATCAAAACATAGGGAATCAATAAATAAAACTAAGATTGGAATTATTAAATTATTATATGCATATCAAAATACAACAGAAACTTTAGTTTCTCTGGTGTTGAAAAAAATCATTAAAATGTTAACTGATATATAAGTATCAATGAATCATCTGATACGGCTTTTTGTATTCGGCGCGTCGGTGCGCTCGCGCAACACAATTTGTTTATTAAATTTATCGCTTATACAGCATCGGGCTCGATATCCTCTACTAATCAGAGTACTGAAAGTACTGATAAGTGTTGATTTTAATGACGGTTTCAATAAAATTTTAATGTTTTACTTCTTGTTCACAACTTTTTCAAGTTATGATCATTTATGCTCCATAAGGAAGTTTGTTAGAGAAATAGATGAAAATGAAATTAACGCGATTAGACAGAGTCAAAAATAAGGTAAGATTTTTTTTCTCACCATAACTTTAGAATGATATGCCAAAATGTGTAAGACTTTCTCTGTCCATTTTTTTTCAATAAATAAATAAGGTATTTTTCTGACTAAGAATTTGTTTAAAAGGGCTATTAATATCAAAGTCATCTCTGTAACTAATTTTCTCCTCATCCTCAGACCTCTATTAACGACAAGTTAATTCTTACAATACTAGAGTAGTTCTATTATTTTAAAACGTAACGAGGAATATTTTTTAAACACTGATACCAAGGTATGGTAGCTTATAGCCATGAAAATCAAGTCTTTAAAAAGGGAGTTTAAATTCTAGGGACATAACGTAAAACTAGTAAATTTGAATTTATTACGTCGGAAGCAAATTGTAAGGGGGGGGGGGGGGTTAAGTGAAAGAAAAAAATTGGGCTAGGGCTATCGACTTGATATAGGCGATAACGCTTAAATTATAAAGAAAATCGCTGTCATTTGAGTGTTTTAATGCACGGAGAAAATACTTTTGTGAAATTGGGATGGGATGAACGCACTGGCGCGCCGACGCGCCAAATACAATTAGCCTCTGATACTTGTTGGAGTTTTTCAATTCAGTTTTTTTTAAGTAGGCCTTTTTTTATTTCATAAAATTAAATGCACACATTTTTTTCTTATTTTTTTTTTACACTTGTAAACCATGAACACGTAACTAGTACCTTGTATGTCTGCTTTAGATGAAAATTTAGATACTGTGTTGTTTTATGGCCAGAAATTCTCTCCATACTTTACAGGTTTTTAAAAATGTGCTGGAATATTGTTCTGTAAAAAAAATTTGGATTATTTTTTAAAAAGCCATTAAATCATGAATTAAGATACAAGTACAAAAAGAATGATATGTCTTCAGGAAATATTCTTTCCTTGAATAGTCATTACTGGTAAACACTATGATTATTATTGTATGTACCTGTTTTGTCATCACGCAATCGCCAGTAAAATCGAGATTGGTTCAATAACTTTGTTCAATCTTCACTCAGTCAAATCAGCATTGGGTTATTTGAAAAAAAAAACGGCATTGGGGCGCTGACTTCAGTTGCTTTATACATAGGCGTAATAAGAACAAAAAAGTTTTCATTAAATTGTTGAAAGAACCGTATAGATAACGATCTGATCGTAACATTTTACATGAAAAATTAGTAATGCTGGATCCGTATGGTTTTTCATTTATCATAAACAAATCCAAATTTTCTTATTTGATCACCAGGTTCGGCTTTTATGAACTGCATTAGAGTTTAGACCTGTACTTGCATGTGGATAGGAATGCTGCGCTATACACAAAGCTTATTAGCTTCTCTCTAACTGCAATTAAATGATATTAACACTATGAACTAGGCTAAAATTCTTCAAAAAATATCTGAGAGCACTTACGTTTTTCCAACACCCAAGACTTCTGCTGCAGTAGTGACGTCAAATGTGACGTACACTTTCATCCGATATAAACCAAAACCGGTCCGGAATAAACCAAATCAAAACGGTTTAAAATTTACAATATATTTTTGTTTCTACTTGATAAATTTAGTTTTAAAAAATTAAAATATTTTGTGAAGATTTGAAGTGGGTGGGGAGTGAAGGTGTAGGGATACAGAGTAGAAATCCTTCCTTTTTATGTGAGCGTCTACAAGAAATGATCATCTGCATTCTTGTAAACAAATATACATTCAAATTCATCTTGATATAATTATGTTTTTGAATTTATTTTTTTTACTTGAAGTCCCTTTGTTTAGAATTAACATAAAATAAATTTCGTGTAATTAATATTCATCTTTAAAGCAGGCACAGATCCAGGATTTCTTTCTAAACCTGGGGGGGTGTCTACGAATGGTATACCTACCCAAAAATGTAACCCAGAAATTAATGTGGATTACTGAACGTAGTCTATTACGAATTTAATTGATAATTTATCTAAAAAGTAAGGTAACTTTCAACTTTGTTGGCAGAGAAATTGAGCTGTTGAACATTTCCTGACTGTAAAAAGTGTCAAACTCAAAACGTATGTTAAACATATGTTTGAAATAATCATATGTTGAACATACGTTTAACATATTTTAAACATATGGTTACCACAAACATATGTTCAACATATGTTCTGAGTCGGCTATATGTTCAACATAGGTTTTAAACATATGTTAAACACACTGTGGAAAATTCATATGTTCAACGTATGTTTAATTTATGTTCAACATATGGTTCTCAAAACATATGGTGAATATACGTTGCAATTTTACCTGTGTACACTATCAGGTTCTTTTCCTCTGCTTCTTTGTATTTCAGGAACCCCACCATCTTCTCTAGATTTCCAAACTTGACCTATAAAGAAGTTTGAAACAGTACTACAAAATGCCTAAATTAACATAAAAAAGAATTATGTTGACAATTTATCTGCTTGTATCTCTATCCTATTTTTCATAAAACTGACAAGCAAGTTCTTTGAAACTTTAATCAACAATAAACAAACTAAATATATATCAATAGAGCCAATATTTCATGGAATACATTAGGTCATTGGGTGTGATTGCCAGAAATATTCCAAGAATTGATTACTTTAAAGATGTACATCCAATTATTTTTTTTATTTATTTATGTATTGCAAGTAAAATACACGACTGCAAAGCCTAACTTACAAATACACGAGGAATTCCGTCTGATCGCTGACTTCCGTCGTCTCGTAGAGCGGGTTGATCAGTGGGAGGGTTACAGTATATAGATTCCTCGTTAACACTAGTCACCTTACATCGCCCCGCCCCCACAAACACATCTACGTTTTCTCTAGTGGCAGCAGCATTTAATCGTCTTCCCTGTAATACAACAGATATGACTACAATTTTACATGTTTATCTTTGACCAAAAGATGGTATAGTAAAAAACTGACATGTATATAGTACAAAATCTTATCTAGTGGAAAACATTACATAGTAAATATAGAAACAAACACACAAAATATGACTGCTCCTAATCTTCTACAAGAAAGAGCAGCAAAAAAGGGACCAAGATTAAGTTAAGATACATATATCTGTTATCTAATTTTACAAACCTTTATTTCCAGCACAATGCCCTGGGTGTATGCTTTCATCCTGCCACTCTCTTCAAAGTCTAGAATTACAGGGTCAGGTGCATAGTACAGTATTGACTGAACACCAGGGAAAAAGGTCTTAAGATCCTGTACCGAGGGCACATTGTCCATGTAGAAACCCAGCTGGACCGAGTTGACCCGGGGATTCCTTCTGGCTCGTTTGAGTAACACTGGCTTCATCTGAATCGATGGCGTTAAAGTTAGTCCCATTTATCGTCAGTTTTCTTCCCCCACTGTAAGAGAGGTGGAAAATAGTATTTCAACCTTATATATATATAGAAGAAGTAAAGATCTTTATCCAATAATTTCAGCAACTTTTAAATCAATAGTAAAGGCAGTTAATACTTTATATAAGTAGTATAAGGGGTCTAGATGGCGAGTTCAACTGAGTGCACTTTTTATGCAAATGAGGTCAAAAATTCTGGATTCTGATTGGCTGGGGGATAGGTGGGTCAACTGAGTGCAGTCCTAACCCTTGAACCCTAACTAACCTAACCCTAACCCCCTAGCCCTAACTAACCCTAAGTAACCCTAACCCCTAACCCTAACCCTAACCCCCTAACCCTAACTAACCCTAACCCTAACCCCCCTAGCCCTAACTAACCCTAACTAACCCTAACACCCTAGCCCTAACTAACCCTAACTAACC